TCGTTCGCGTAACGTAGACAGCTTCGATAAGGTTTCTCCGTGAAAATCCGGTCCAGGATTTCAGCTTGCAAGAAGCTCGCGAACGCGCATAAAAGGACACGCTCTGAAGCATCGTCTTGTCGAGGGTAAGATGTTCCGACGAGGCTTGCCACGACCGAGCCAGTCAGCTTCTAGAATGCAAATTCGTTTAGCGAAGAAACTCGCTGAGTGCATCGCCGCAGTCTCGAGTGCACATCAGCAGCCGGCAGCAGGAACTGCAAGCGACGAGGTCACGATATTCCCTGTGTGCGTGCGTTACGGCTACAGTGACCGTGGGAAGCTGCTGCATGGTTAGGTAATTGAAGAATTTCTCAGAAAATGGGCACACGCGTGTCGAGGTGAGCGGCCAAACGCGGGTAGAGAAGAGTCGCAATTTCGGACGATTAAGAGCAGACACGTAGCTGCGACGCGAGATAAGCCGGAATACTAAAAAGCCGCGGTTGTTCCGAGCGAAAAATGCGACACATATGTAGACTGTGCCTAATTACCAACTTAGTCAGCGGGTTCAACAGGTAATTTGGAAAAATTTGACACTGTATGTACATACGTGGACGACAAATAATATTCTTTTTATAATGAATGACAAGTCAAAGTGCTGTTCAGGTGCATATTTTCCTGACATCTAATTCATGGCATCGTTAAGGTTACATGAACAGTAGGAAAAGAACTTGAACTCACGAAAAGATATTCAATCTCAAAACGTATTTCTTGCTTTAGATGTATTCTGAGCAAGATCAAATATTTTTCATATTGATCAGGTCAAAAAATAAGGAACATCCTCTTTGAAGAATTGCAGTACAATTCAATAACTGACTGCAATATCTTGCAGCAAGGAATCAGAAACCGTATCAAGCTGCAAAGAAGCAGTCTGAAAGTTTGGGTCGAATGTATCGGAATCTGCAGGTAGCAGATACAATCACCGATTGGCAAAGAATCGAAAAGCAGCAGCTCGTTGAGCAATCCTTTTCCAAGCACTTAGCGTCACTACTTCTTCTCTGCGTTGCACAACGCGTTATTAACACGTCCGTAACACGCCGTTAATTAAGTTCGACAAGTTATTGACCGTTGCCACATCGATTTCTCTCGTCAGAAGCTACTTTCGACTCGCGAACAGCGGAAACCAAGTTGCACGCTGAAAAGAAGGAACGAGGAAGCGACGAAGCTCTGGCAAACGTTCTGGCACAGCCGCAAATGACACCGGGGCTAATTTTCCGGCTGGAAAATCACGGAACAGAGCAGCTACCGTGAACGAAACGTGTCGGTGACACCTCAACAAGTGGATACAACGCGTGCGCACATGTCGCTGACGTTTCGAAAATTCGCGGATAAAAGCTTACACACGCCGGTGGTTAGGGTTCGTCGAACCGTAGCGGAAAGTCATGGTCATCGATGCGGATGCACCGAGCCGATTATTTTTGGAAAACGGCGCAAATGCGTTGCGACGATCATTATTTCGCGAATTGGCTGATCGAAGCAACAAGGGTGGTCCTTTAAGACATTGAACGACGTTGACTTTAAATTCGAGTCGTTGATGTAGATATTTTATGAAAGAAATCGAAATAATTAAGAATTCTTTCCAGTGATGAACAGACGTTTCCAGTTCTCCAAATTTGACGAATATCAGAGATAAACAGCGTCCGTGCTTTTACGATATATTCGAATCTGCGTACGTAACAGGTTTATCGTGAAATGCAGATTTATGTATTTACGTTTATTTTTCATATCGTGGTATCATGAATGCATAAACATACGCAGTCGATTAATTACCTAATGCAACGTACAGTATAATCGAGCGAGGTAATCGCAAGGGTGCATAATCGTCCGCATCGAGACGCGACACGAAGGACATTTAATTCGACACGGTTCGCTCCAAGCGGCATAAAATAGATTCCCGATACGTTTATAGTTTGAAAGACCGTCATCTCCGGAGGAAAAACGGTAGCAAAAAGAAACGGTTAAAATAGAGAAACAAGCGACGAAGGAGTAAGACGTTGAACGAACGGGCTAAAGAAGCTGAAAGCGGTCGGTTAAAAAAGAGGTGAGAAATGAGCCATGGTCGAAGGATCAGACGAAAGAAGTTTGAAAAGGAGACGAAGAAAAAGAAGCAAAAGAAGGGGAGGCCCGTTATGGCGACCGTGTTGCATCGCATTAACCAGTCGACCGAGTGATCTTGATCCCATCTCTCACCGAGCTGCCCTGCTTTTTTACTTAAGGTCCTACGCTCGTAATCCACTCGCTAACGATCGCAATCGGGCGAGTTTCCATTGATAGATCTACAACCTTCATCTACTATTTTTGCAACGACTCGTTACTTTTAGGTTTTTTGTCATTATTTACTCGTAATTCTCTTTACCATTCGTAATGAAATCAATTAAGATCTTTACGAGTTAAGGTCTAGTTAGGATTGCTGAAGTATTTATAAATATTTGAGTATTTAAATGTTGGTAGAATTCAGAGGTGAAGTTGGAATGTTACAATCGTTAGTTATTGAATCATTCGTCGAAAATTGTCTACAGCCAAATTACGACTTGGAATGCATTGAGTTGTATTGGATTTGGAATAATACATAGAATTGTAATGCGAGGAATTATGACGCATGGAATTGCAACACAGGAAACTACAACGTGCCAAACTGTAAGTGTACAGAATTGCAACGCGCTGAGTTACAACGCATAGAACTGCAATATGTCGAATTGAAATACATAGAATTGCAACGCATAGAAGTGCAATGCATCAACTTGCAACGCGTCAACTTGCAACGCATCGAATTGCAACGCACCGAATCATAACTCATAGAACTGCAACGCATAGAATTCCAACGCGTGGAATTGCAATGTGCCGAATTACAACGCACAGAATTGCTATGCACCGAATTGCAGCGCGTAGAACTGCAGCGCGCCGAATTGCAACGCGCCGAATCACAACGCATAGAATTCCAATGCGTGGAATTGCAATATGCCGAATTACAACGCGACGAATTGCAACGCGCTGAATTGCAATGCACCGAATTACAGCGCATAGAATTGCAATGCACCGAATTACAGCGCGTAAAACTGCAACGCGCCGAATCACAACGCTACGAATTGCAATGGACCGACTCACAACGCATAGAATTCCAACGCGTGGAATTGCAATATGCCGAATTACAACGCGTCGAATTGCAACGCGCTGAATTGCAACGTATAGAATTGCAATGCACCGAATCACAGCGCATAGAACTGCATCGCGTCGAAGTGCATCGCACCGATTTGCAATGCGCCAAATCACAAAATGTAGTCTTGAAATGCACCGAATTGTAACGCATAGAAGTGCAACACGCCAAGTTGCAATGCGCCGAATTACAACGCATACAGTTATAACTCACCGAATTGCAACACAGAAAATTTTAAATTACACCAAATTAAAAATCGTAAAAGTAACAAATATTTACTGCTAATGCAGCTCGAGTACCGTGCAACTCCCCGTAAACCTTCCGTCTATAAAAAAGAAAATAGTTTGCTACCTGAGTTCAGTTATAACATCCCGTACGATTCTGATTCATCGCCAGCTCGCGATAATTGCGAGCAACTATTTCCCGCGATTATGTTCTCTAACGTATCGCGTTGAAAAAAAAGTAACGGCTTCAGAAACTGTTTTTCCCTAACATCGTAAACGTACGGTTTCGCAATCGGCCGACCGTTATCGCTCGCTATCTTTGCACGCGATTTACCCGCGGCCGCGATGAATTAATTGCCAACGAGCTTACGCTGTTACTCGCGTAATTACGCGCCGATTGCGTAATTGCGAGGTAACGAGCAGTGGCCTTCCGATCGAAGACGACGCATCGGTTACGCGAAACTCGGCCAGGTCGATAACCCGGGACCCAGGCGTTAATTAACGATGTACACAAACCACGGGGTTACGCTTCTCGCATCGGGACAGGTCTTCCACAGGTTACCGTTACGAGTTCCACTTCCCGTTTGCCCTCGAAAATTCCATTACAATTACATCATAAAATGTCATACATCTTGCCTCAACCCCATTCGTTTGTCAATTTTCAGCAATAATTAATTGACGCAGCGAAACGGCAAGAAACGAGGAAAAATTTTTCAGCGCGGTGTTAAACGAATACTTGACCCTTCGTATTTGAACCAATTGACTAAGACGTAAGACGATTTCGAGCTGTTAACGACAGTGTCAACAGTGGAACACACTCGTCAAAATGACGAATTCCAAATTTTTGTCTCGGTTATAGAATCGAGTTGCATTCTTGCGGAGATGAAATAAAGCTTTCATTACCTTTAAATTGAAAATGATGATAATATTTAGCTTCAGGTGGAAGTTCGAATACGCATGCAACCTTCGAGGGCGAGAGGTTAATTGCACCGCGCCGATGGATCGTCACGAGCGTGCCTCTTCGACTGATAGCCGTATCAGTTAATAAGATAGTAAATTTAATGACCAATAAGTTGGTAGTACCTGTACAGCAACGTTCGCGTGTGAAAGGTTAATTGCATCGCGAGGGCAGCTCGCTAGAGGCTGTTTCCTATGCGAATCAATCGATAAAGCGTGATTAAATGATTTGTTTGTCATTTATTTAAATGTTCGGAAAATATGCGCAGTTCCTGCGGTAACTTCGCATTCATTAAATTCTCATTTAATGCCTTCTGTAATTTCCAATTCCAGTATGTTGCTAGAAGCAATATTCCTCCAAATCAAAACATAATTTCATTAAAATCAGAGTAACGAGATTTTTCTATTATCGTTACTGCTATTGTCATCGTGTTAAAGCGTTTAAGAGAACGACAACCAGAGTATTTGAGAAAAAGAGTTGGAATCAAATAAATCTCAGGTGGACACAATCGTCCGTAAATTCGATTCGAAACCGGTCACTCGGAAGAGTACACACGTGGCGAAATCCTTCGCCGCAGATCCATTCTCTCTAAGTTCAGTTGATCAGACAAAAGAACACCACGACTCACCTGAACGTCCACCAGATGTTGAAGCACATCGTGTTCAGCCAGAAGAACGCAGCTAGGAAGAAGAAATGCGCCATGATTGCTGAAACAGAACGAGAAAAATGGTCAGTTCGTTACAAACTTCTTTGCGGTTGTAACGCTTACGGGTAATGATTTTCTTCTTCCACGTCATTTTTATCCGGTTAATGGTTTTCTTGTTTCGAGACGGAATACTACTTTAGAATTTCGAAGCTTTCGGAAATAATAGATTTAATCCTACAGTTAAAACTAAATAGTTATCTGTTAAGGTTAAATTATTATCTGTATAAGGGTTACATAAAATTTGATTATAACTAAATAATGAATAGGCGTATATAATCTTGTAACTGATAATTCCTTTCGAACGTCATCCCATGAAAATTAAATAAAAGATCGAGTGTAACAATACTGTTCAGACTAAAGGGTTAAGTCTATGCAGATACCGGCAATTTCCAAGTTGAGATCGAATCCCGAAGACGCACAAAAGATTCGATCAATCTTTTGAACGCGTCCTCGCAGCTGACAGAACCGCTGAAGCCGTCGAAACAAAAGGACACAGAATGTCAGTTCCCAGGTTTGCGATGAACGCTTAAAGATTCATGAACCGTAGGGGTGGATGTTCAGGCTGCGGCCTGTCGAGGGCCAGACGAAACTCCGGGGAGCGACAGCTTTTGTAAAGATCTATTTGAAAAGATGGCTGTATGGCGAAAGAGGGTAACCGGGTGGGTTTCGATAAATTTTTCACCCGGTTCCCGGTATTCGTGACGAACAAGAACATCGTACGCAGGGGCTCCGACCGCGACCATTAATTTCTGAGAACTGAATGGTCCGAGATGCGCGTGGACACCTCGTGGACACAAGGAAAAAAGCTCGTTTCGATCGAGTACCACTCGTACAAAAGACTTTCTTTGAAAAGGAAACTCAGGTGGCTAGCAAAATGGACCCGAGACGGTTTGTTCGTTGCGAGGGGTTGCGAAGTTACCTCGTGAAAGGGAGCTGAATTGTTCAACATTGAACGCACTCCATTTTACGAAGCGTAGCTGCGAGCTAATTGAAGTATAAATAGGTAAAAACTCGATCGACTTGTTTACATAATGACAACGAAAAGCTGCTTTGTATCGGCGGTATTATTTGGGGGACGTTGACCGTACAGGATAAACATAGGAAAATGGACCGGTTTCGACATCTAAATTGATAGAGTTGCATTGTTACAGCTGCATATTTAATTGTACATAACATTATCGCGTGCGGAGTATCAATTGTTTTCCTTTATGAATATAATCAATAATGGCCGCGGCGTATTTTCCGTTATGCGAAGGGGCGCGATCGCGTACGTGACCACGGAGGATGTACGCGAAACAATTGGTTTATATATTATGAATGCTCAATATTGCGTATTCTCGTAGTGCATCAGGAACAAAGGTAATTATTTCGCGTATTATTGCCTTATAACTATCCACGCGTCAACAGTGCATCCCACAACGCTGCATCTTACAATTAGATGTCGTGCGATTGTGCAGCGAGATAGGAGCGGACGAAGCGTAAAAATGCGCGCGTTCAAGGAACTCTGGTGACGCACATGGAACTTTTGTAACCGAGCGAGTAGTCATGATTTGCATTCACTTCGTTATGCACCGTCAGTCACGAGCCAGCACGGCGGTACGCCACAGGCAAATGTTTACAATCGTCCAGCTTTTTCTTCCATATAAAATTATGGACGTCCTGTGGACTACAGCCGTATACCGTGCAATTAACGATCGTTCCATTAAATGTAAAACTGTGAGAAAGCGCGTGGACGAAGTACGAGCACCTTGAGGCACGTTGGCCTTGTACACTCGACAAAAAGCATCGACTAACGCTACGTGGAACTAACTTGACATTAATTCGCAATTATATTATGGTAATTGGTCCATGTACGTTTTGCTTTCGTATCATCGTTGACGGGATGAAACGAAAAGGACAGTGCAAAGGATGCATTTATTCAGATGAGTCTTCAACCGTAGCTTATGCGTTTAATGGATTATGATCGGTTTCTGAAGGAATTACCGCTTCCGTATCTGGGGATGCAAGGATATAGGGATTTCGATTCTAAGAATTTATGCTCGGTACAAGTTTTCCGAGAAGAAAGGAAAATCTGAACAGGTGTCCCGGTCGCGGAGAAACTTCATTACCATGGCAAAGAGACCGCGCGATATCCGGAGAAGCTCTCAAACCCTCTTCGCGTCACTTTCCTTACTCTCGCTTTCGTTGCGCCCTCCAGCGTCTCGCTCGAGTTCTAATTCGTCCGAGCCGGCAGAGATAGAAAATGCAAACTAGAGTAAACAGCGAAGCGGATAAGAACGAGCGGTTCGAACGCGACCCGGCGCGAAACATCGTAAATTTGAAAAGAAGGGTGAGAAGGGTGACGGCGGGGCATGGAAAACGATTTCGTCAACCCCACGGTGTTAAGCCGGCCACGGACGACGACAGGAGGGACCATGTTCACGGATGAATGTCGTCGGAGTTATAATTGCAACGAGGTGTAATTAGTTTTGGAAATTTAATTATTTCCGGGCGAAACGGCCGCGCGATAAATGCCGCCGGCAGCCGTTCCGCGCGCGCA